ACATAGCATTTTCTGTTAATTTACTAGCAAGATATAGCTCTTCTCCTACACGGAGACATTGTAACGGGATTAAGCATATATTGCGATATTTAAAGGGAACTCTTGATATGGGTTTATTTTATGCTAACAAAGATCGTGCAGATCTTGTTGGTTATGCGNTAGAAATGCGTATTACTAAATATGTGTACTCTTTTTCCTTCACTAGGATTTTTTTCACTGGGTTCTTCCTAGTAAGGTTTTAACGAGACACAATATCTTTTAATGAATATCCAAGGGGGAGTGTTATGAAAATAATTATATTGTGGATGTTCATTTATTACTCCGCTATAGATAATCTTCCTAAAGAAGATTATTCATTTAGTACTCTGTTGAAGTTTATCTACAAGCAGCTGATGCAGGCAGGTTGCAAGCAGCTCAATGAAATGATTTGCAACAGCTTCTTATTAAACAGGCAGGTTGCAGGCAGCTCATGCAGACAGCTTACAAGCAGCTAAAGAAAAGCCTTGCAGCTGCTTCCTGAAAAGCCTCGCATCTGCTTCCTTTCTTCTATAAATAGAGAAGTTTTCAGTTCATTATGTACATAAATTTGAAGTTAAATAATATATCAGTTTCTCTCTATACTTGTCTTTACTTTACAGTCTTTATTTTATAACAAATTATAGTTATTGAAGAAACTAATAACCTGGCGGAGAAAATAGAAAGACACAAGTTTTGAGTCAGATGGTTATTTTCCTTAATCCTTTCTCAAGTTCTGTATATGAAAAAGAGTTACTACAATATAAGTGTTTCTCTCCTAGGTTTAGTATAACTCTAATATTCTATAATATTTGTATAACCTGAACCATTACAAACTTGATTTTGACATACGACAAGGAATCTTTTTACCTTAGTTATTCTCCACTGAGATAGACAATACTGTAAACGTTGGATTACTTTATTCTCCATTGAGATAGACAAGAAAGTTCATATGATGACAAAATAAGAAGATAAATAGTTAGCAAGCCAATTTCTTTGTCTATACACATGATATACTTTATGTCCACACACTTAAGCAACTAAAAAATTTCATTTTTCTATGCACCTTACTCTAATATCACATGTCAAACTCAATGAGCAGCATAATTATATGGGCGTAGCTATCGGCAAAGGATATGTATTTGAATTGATAAAAGAAATTAAATTACTTCTAGAAAGACTGATTAATTACATTTTATGAGTGCGACAATTATAAGAGCATATTATAAATGATTCACTAACGTCATATCAAAACAAATTAAATAAATAATACAACTAAAGCAAGAAGATACGCAAGATCTCATAGTTTATTCTCGATTGAAATAGATGTATGTAGTTAAATTTTAAGAGAGAACTCATGCAATGAAGAAAATTTGATAACCCAACAATAGATGCAGCAAAATAAACAAAAACGTGATCCGTCATATAAAGGGAATAGGAGGTTCAACGTGTATGGCTACAAAACTTTAAATTCCTTACAAAACCTTATGTATAGGACACAATATTTCAAAGAATTAGAAGTTTGAAAGGGATTAGAAGTTCTTGCTAATTCGTACAAGGCAAGGGATTTATATAAGTAATATTTTGGTGGATTCTAAATTCCTAAATATTAGGAGTTTTTACATCTTTTAAATAAGGAAGGATATTATTGCCAAATTTTTTAATTAATTTGAAAGTCTTAAATATTAAAAATATTATTAAATGACTATTTTATCTAGTGTGAAATCTATTCTTAAAGGACAAAAAAGACGAACGACATTTCGCTAAGGGTATTCGTGCTTTTAATATGGTAATAGATAATAGATATAGATAGATTAAGGTATTTTTGAGGAAAAGGGAAAGATTAGGACAAGTGTTTTCTTATTCTATTGTTTGACTAAACCATTAACTTAATTTGCATTTGCATGAGCATGGACGCGAGATAATGTAGGCACGTGCCTATTACCACATGTTAAATATTCGTTGATCCTTAATCAGAGGTTTCGGTTCGAATTCTGGAAATGAAAATGCCTTTGCCACGAGCTATTTACCCTCAAAGTGAAATTGTTTAGTACGAAACCGAATTAGTCGGGTCCCAAAGCCAGTACGTATGTGTTAACCCCATCATCTTATCCCTCCCCAGGCCAACCCCACGGGAAAAGACAAGAATAACCATAAAAGAATGAAAAAACAATGGCCAACATATGAAAAGTAGGTAAGATGGATAATACTTCGAGCATTAAGGTTCAAAATTATTCAAAAGTAAATAAATTTGAAAGCTTATAATAGGCCAGTTTAAAAATTTAAACCAACCTCAGAAAGTTTAATATAAACATATTTATGTATGTCAATGCAACGAGAATCTTGAAATAGCTATAATCAAATAGGTAATGTCCTTCAATAACAACTTGACAATGTAAATTCTTTTATATAAGAGTACTGAAATTTCGTGCAACTCCAAACCAATATACTAGGCTTATGCTCAACTTTTAAGATTAGACCGTTTGTTCTTTTCCCACTTCCCAAATATATACTTATATATAGAAGCAGATAAATTACTCTTTATTTTTAATAGTAGGGGGGGGGGATTAGATGCCTAAAATGATGCTTAATTTTCTGTGTATTACTTTTTAAAATGCTCAACTTTTTTGTTTCTAGGCTTTGGTCTAGTGGTAAAAACATAACGTGTGATATGTGAGTTAGGCGTATGTCACGAGTTCGAGCCCTTTCATAGATAAAAACCTGATATTTAAGCAGAGAAAGGTGAAGGAAAAGTCCATATCCACCAAGTCTCGAACCATACGCTACGCTACTAGTTTTTGAAAATTTCTCGATTATAAAAAAAAGCTCACATTAAAACACTAGGGATTATTGTTCTTCTAAGAGTCAAACTCAATACTAAAATGGAGAATGTAAATATGAAACTAGTGAGCAATTTGTGTGGTCATTATAAGCTAATGAGGAATTGAATAATAGCTAATAAAGTTATATATTCGAACAATCTGTAACATATGGGAATATTCCAATTAAAAAGTAGTAGAAAACAGCTAAACGATATTTGTAAAATTGGACATTTTGCATAAAAATAATAATGACGTGATGGAAAAGAATTGATTTCATATTGCTTTTGCTTCTTGGATGTTTACTATATATGTTATAGCTCATTTATGCATTTAAATGTAGCTAACCAAACAAGAAAAGCTTAAGGATTTCAACAGATTGCTGAAAATGAGTTGCCTTCAGAAATGGAAGACAATATTTGCAATGATTATTGTTGAATTTGGTTTTGCTGCTGTAAATGCACTTTTCAAGAAAGTCCTCAATGGAGGAATGGACCAATTGGTGGCATCAACATATAGGCTTGCAGTTTCTGCTATTTTCTTGGCCCCTTTAGCATGGTTTTTTGAGAGGTACGAGTTTAACTTCTATGTACTAATCGTAATTTAAAAAAAAAATTATATTAGGTTACCTCAAAGACAATTAGATATAAATATTCATAATGAGTTTAATTTTTATACCCTAATATTATAATTTTTACACTATAAGACCACCTTAACAATAATGACAAGTAACTGCCTAAGATATGCGAAACTAGTTACTTTGAAGAATAAGGGAAGTAACAAGTTAAATTACACTGAACGTGTGAATAATTCTAACACTGTCAGTATATATAATTGCTCAAGTAGCGCAAAGTAAGTGGAGCTATTTACCTGAAAAATAAGATAGACAACTTGCTATTAATGTTAAATTATATCGTTAGTCCAAATATTATTTGTGGTCAGAGATGGAGTTAAAAGCCAATATATAGGTTCAGGCATATTCAATAACTTTTGTTCAATTTTATATTTGCATTAAGAAATTCATTAAATATGTACAAAAATTAAATTCAGAACTCCATTACTAACGTATGATATTGCCATCCTGAATTTTAGGACCTCTATTTGCGGTGTTAGTAGATACAAGTTAAATGCTTAGAATATATATTTCCCAAAGCAGCTAGAAGTAGGGGTGTACAAAGAAAACCAACAAATCGCACCAAATCGATAATCCAAGTCAAACCAAGAAAAAAAATCCGACTATGGTTTGATTTGGTGTTAGAAAAAAAAATCCGACTATAATTGGTTTGGTTTGGTTTTAACTAAAAAAAGTCAAACCGAAACCAGACCAAACCAACCCGACATTACATGTATACAAGTTTAAAAATATGTTATACATAAAAATAATAATTATAATATAATTTATAAATATTTTTTAAACTTATTCATAGTTTACTCTTTTAATATATTATTTCAAGCTTGTACTTAGAACTTTTGAATGGTCAAATATGTTTTATATCCAATAAAAATTAGTAACTCAAATAAAACCCAAAGCAAAATCAAATCAATACTAATGCTGACAAAAAAATATTCAATTCAATACTAAGAATGACAATAGTATTGGATATTTATTCTTTTTAGTTTTGCATTGGTTTAGACGGTGAAAATGCATAATTTACTTTTAATATTATTTAGTCATGTAATTAATACTTAGTATTTATTAGTCGTACTTATTTTAACATGACTTAGTACTTTTAGATTATGTTTATTTTTATTATGGCTTATTAATTAGCAATATTTATTTTATGCGATTTGTTGAGTATTTTAGTATAATCATGACTCATCTCACATTATTTTATATTATTTTATTGGATTACACTTATATAGTTTTATCCTACTAGGATCTAAGAAATATTAGAGCACAAATTATAAATTTTATGCTATAAAGATTCTGTCGGAAAAAACCCAAAAAATTCGTGAAAACCGAAAGACTCGAGAAAAATCGCGATTGAAAAATCCGATTTTTGTTAGTTTAGTTCGGTTCATAGATTCAAAAATCCGAAACAATTAGTTTGGTTTAGTAATAGAAAAATCCGAACCAACCCGATTTACGTACACTCCCAGAAAGAATAACATCTTTGCTTTGCCTTGCAGAAAAGTGGCATCAAAATTAACGGCTCGCATTATCTGTTCTCTGTTTATCAGTGCATTGCTGGGGTGAGTTTTTACATATTATTCTATACATAAGAGTTATTTATTCCAATAATTGTAAATATTATGTTCTGCTCTAGTCAATCACAACAAACTCTGATAAATAGCTGTTTTAATTTCAGGGGTACATTCACTCAATATTTCTTCTTACTTGGGCTGGAATACACATCAACAACATTTAGCTGTGCTTTCCTCAATATGGTGCCTGTCATCACTTTCATTTTGGCCTTGCTACTTAGGTAAACATAAATAATCATTTAAATTTCAGTTTATTGTATCAAAGTTATATAACTAATGTTTTGTAGCAAAATGATAAATCAACTATGCCTATATAACACAAAAAAAGTATAGTGTCATGTAGGTAGCGTACACGTCAGCACTCGCCTTATATAGTATTCTGATACCATTTAAAAAATAAAAACCCATTTTCTACTCACTTAAAATAAAATAAGTTTTTTAAGTGGTGTCACGTGGATGTTATATAAGATAGACTTATGAAGTGGCAGCCACCAGCCTAGTATGTTCCGACATTCTTCATTTTCTGTGATAGGCATAGGTTGAGTAATATTTGTTTTTGAAAAAGTTACTTTTACGATTTTAGTAAAATGGTAGTCCGGTGCACAAGGCATCATGCATTCACGAAGGGTCCAGGAAGGGCCGCACCCATGGGCAAATTTAGGAGGCGGAAGGGTGTTCACCTGAACCCTCTTCGTTGGAAAATTACACTGTATATAAGGCAAAATCCAGTTCGTATATCTATATTTTATATTTTGAATCCCCTGCACATTGTCCAAAAGCAAAGCTCAATGGTCAAGGAGGTTCAAAATCTCTGTAAGGTTATTGTTCAGCAATTTCTTTTATGATTTTAGTTTTTTTTTTTTGAATTCCCTTAACAAAAATCCTACCTCCGCTACTGGCCGCACCAGAAGAGGTGTGATGTAAACAGTCTATTCTAATGCAAGCATTAGTGTCTGCTTTCACGACTCGAACTCGTGACCTATTGGTCACACGAAGACTATTTTACCGCTGTTCCAAGACTTCTTTTCATTTTAGCGCAATAAATTAAAGTTGAATGATACTTATTGAGCAGCCGAGATATTGAACAACGAACATTTGAAACAATTTCTTGCCTCACCCTGAGACCGGACCAGGCCGAGTCAGAAAGGCTTCGATGACTCAAGGTTCATGTTAGGGAAAGGAGAGTTAGGGGAAGAGGGGCAGCCCTCGGCCCGATCATCCAATGCTCCAACAGACAGACATGGTTCCTTATAGTCATTTATTTATTTATCTTTTCTATCGTGACAACTTTAGTTCCCCACCTTTTAGCGTTCTGGGCATCATATATGAAATTAATCTGTCGCTTTCAAACTTTGGATCTTTAATTTTAGACAGCAGAAGGAACCATGCCAAGAAGTTAGATTAGTAGCAAAAGAGGAGGCTTGTTTTATCTTATTTTTGCAAGAAAAGTTGTGTCATACACATACTTATGCCTCTTTTTTAACCTATAAATTTTCACAGGCAAGAAAAAATAAAACTAAAAAGCAGGAGTGGAAGAGCAAAGATATTAGGCATTCTATTCTGTCTTGGTGGAGCATTAATACTCACTCTATACAAAGGAATGGCATTGATAAATCCATCAGCAGAATCAGAAGTTGAATCAAGTCACAGAAAAAAGAGTTGGTTTCTTGGTTCAATATTTCTATTTGCAGGTTGTTTTGTGTGGTCTGCTTGGTTTCTAGTACAAGCTAGAATTAGCAAAGATTATCCTTATCAGTACTCAAGCACTGCAATTATGTCATTTTTTGGAGCTTTTCAGTCTGCAATTTTGAGCTTTATCATTACCAGAAATGTATCGAAATGGATACTCAAAGGTGGATTAGAGATCCTAAGTGTCATATTTGGTGTAAGTAACCTCCTTCTCATACTTTTGAATACAATACCTTCTAATGCGTATCTCGTAAATATCAAAAGTGCTTATAAGCCCAAGCAATTATAAGCCAAAATTAGTCAAAAGCAGTAAGTTGGTTATCACAACTTATAATTTTTCAGCTTATAAATATTTTTGGTTTGACCAACTTTTTTTGCAATCCTCGACATACCCTTCACAAACAAAACTCCAACTCCTTTGTTCTATTTTCTCGTTCGCCAATTTTCATGTAAAAATATTCTTAAATTTATATTTATTGTAAACAATTTTAAGGATGCTATTTAAGTCATTTTATCAGAAAAGGTGCTTATTATCACTTTTCACTGTTAATTGCTCATAATTAGTTTCAACACTTCTATCCAAATATGTAACTCCTCATTAATGAAATTAGTTTCAGCACGTGGTGCTTATGATCAACTACTTTGAATCAGCTAAACCAAACAAACTCTCAATATTTTTTCCTATCTAATAATTTTAATTTCTTATTCTAAATTCCATTTGATTGCAATGATATATACTTCAAGAAAGTGGAAGTTACAATTTTGAATACAAAATAATGAAAGTATATGTGAATGTATGCAGGGAATGGTGGGATCAGGTTTGTGCTATGTTGTAATGTCATGGTGTGTAAAGCAAAAGGGTGCAGTTTTTACATCAGCATTCAGTCCCCTCATTCAAATTTTTGCTGCTGTCTTTGACATTTCCATACTTCATGCTCAAATTCACTTGGGAAGGTCAGATCTTATTCTTTGTTATAATACCATATTTTGTTAAAAATATAATATTAAAGATGGACATAAAGACAATAATTTGGTAAAATGTACATGTTTTCAGGGGTGGATGCATAGCATATATGACGAGTTCATCCAAATAACATAGCTATTCAAATCTTATATATAAATTAAAGACTCGTTGATAAGTACAAATAATAAAGGGAAATTTTCATAATTACTGATGAAATCAAAAATTATTTCACAATCTACAACTATTAGTTAAATAACATATTCTACAACATAAACATGATAAATGTATAAAAGTTATACCCTCAAATACGGTTGATTTCTTAAATATTAGGAAACTGTTTCTGAAAGTATCCCTTAATAATGCAATCTCCAACTAAAAACAAACACCCAAAAATAAGGGATTATCTTTATTTAGGTAACAGAAAGGAAATCAATATAACATGCAATCAATTATTTTCTAAACAATCTCCTTTTGCTTCGCTGCCTTTTCAAGCTATCATTCCACTTATTCAAATCCAATATCTCATTCTCCTTCGATTGATAGGGTATGTTTTTCTTCTTTTTTTCATTCTTAAAAGTGTAACTTCCATTCTTTTAATACAAAAGTGTGGTATCAATGGCATATTGGCTTTCACCAAATTCTCCGTTTCAACAACAAAAAAAAAGTTTCTCTGATCTATTTTCTTTGTAAGTAACTTAGCTAATAACTAATATTATCTCAAATATATATACACACAAACACAGTATTTATGTACATTTTTATATTTGGAATAATATATGGAGTAACTGATATTATGTATATTATATACATATAGTATACTTAATATATATCATCAATATATGTTTTACATTTGAAGTAATATATCATATATCATATAATCTACTTACATATGTGTAGTATACATAATATATATCATTTATATTAGCACTAATATATAACATTTATTCTTTATGTTCGTATATTTACCAAATATATATTATTAGTATACTATAGTTATAGTATATATTTATATATTATTAGTATACTATATCTATGTGTATATATAAATATATTATATGTATGTATAATATACTATGCATAAATATGGTGGTAAAGTAAAGAAGAATTAACCCAAATAGCCGTCCATTTAATCTTTTAAACTAAAAAAAGCCGGTGAAGGTATAATATGTATATAATCTATGTATTATATATGTATAACTGTGTATAATCAATGTATAATCTATGTATACTGACTAGAAAAAGTAAACATTAAATCTGGCCGTCTATTTGTGTAACAATCCCTAAAGTAAAATCATTCATTGAAAGATAATTTGATGCTATAACGAAAAGAAAATGGAGAGTTGAAGAATAAAGTTATATGCATTCTTCCGCCAACGAACTTAAATGAATGTAACATAGAAAAATTAAGTCCTAACATGAAAACAGTTGAAATCACCACTATATGAAGAAAATGGAAAATCAAGTTTAAATCTACAAGTTTGAACTGAGTTTGATATTGCTCACACGAATGAAGGCCTCATCGGCAACCTCGAAAACAAACCTTGTCGGCAGCAATACCATGTCGGTGTTAATTGCGTTCTAGTATGAGGAGAAATTGAAGATGAGACAGAAAATTTGATAAATTTGAAGTAAAAGAAATTACTAATTCTATATTAAGTGGAGATATTTTTAGGAAAATCTTAGATAATTATGCATTTAAGATTCTCATAAGTGTAATCACAATCCTTTTTTTCAGAATTTAAAGTGAGATATTTAAGGAATATAAAAAGGTATATAATCTAATTAAGAGGTTAAAAGATTGTATTAAATTGTATATAATGTAATTATTTTAAAATAGTTGTAACTCTTATAAATAACTTTTCAAAATGTTGTATTCCGGGTAAATTAAATTTGTAAGCCGAATCGATCAAATAGGCTGCGGTAGAATTCCAAACTCAAATCCGTAAACTTCAACCCTGCAAGTTTTATATGCCTTTTTTGATATTCAAAAGATGAAAAGAGTCTTAATATGTTACCATAATGCAAAATAAGAAGACATACCTTCAAAACTAAAAGTGAAAAGAAATGAATATTTTCCCAAAAGTTGGTCCATATCCTCCTGCAGTGGCCAGAGAGACAGGATTTTCATCGAGATGTAAAAAAATAAAAAAGGTAAACACATGAAGAAAGTCAATGTCATTCAATATTTAATATATATACATACAAAAAATATTGACTTTATATATGCGGTGTAATTTTTTGGCCGAATGCTCTTCTCATGTTTCAGGAACAAACTTTAAGCTTTCAAGATTTCTCAACCTATTTATTATTGTTACTTAACTATTCTATTTGTTTCCTTTAACAGCATATTGGGATCCATTTTGGTTATTATTGGCTTGTATTTTCTTCTGTGGGGTAAAAGCAAAGAAGCCGAGATTTACAAGAATCCTCCAGCAACAGAAAAGAATGGACAGTCTGCACTACCAATTACTGCAAGTCCAACTCATATTTAAAACTAATGTCATTTTTCCTTTCTTTACCAGGGCAACTACTTCTAATGTATCCAGGACTAACTATATAATTAACATGTAATAAGTGCGTTCGAAAATGAATCAGTAACTAACTCTTAAAATACTTCAAACATTTCTAAATTTACATTCTGCAGATTTTATTCACATGCTGAAATAACAACTATCATATCAAACATCATTTGTCCTCAAGCATAGTATCATATCATCTCTGGTGCATGATAGGAAATAAGAATGTGCTTCGGGACGAAATGAAACTGCAGTTAACCAAAAGATCAAGGTTAAGTGTACCAACAGATATGAAAATTTTGAATGAGCAGGAATGATGATGCAAACAAAATATATACCTTGATACTGAGATAATAGCAAAGTCAGATTATACATATGCTTTATATACAAACTAATGATCAGTTGATCCAACTTGAAGCCAAAGAACTCGTGTCTAGCTGAATGCATTTGAAGATGCATATTTCAACTCTAGCATAAGGATTTACCTTTAATTATATGAGCTTATAGAGATCTTTGTAGTAAAAAATTTAAAATAACAAATTTTGATTCAACAGAACGTATGATGGAGAATCAAGAAGCATGATATGCTTGACACCTCCTAGCACAGTAGTGAACAGCTTTAGTTAACACCTTAGAAAAGCCATGCCAAACGATAGGCTACCAAATCTGTGTCATTCAACAAAGTAATAAGAAAAAGAGAATGCACTAAAATCAAGTCATCTGAGTCAATGGTAAAATTCAGCCTATACCACTTTCATGAGCCTTATGTGGAAAAGAGGAAAAAACAACCAAACATTGTATAACTTATGCTAGCTTCTATGTGGAGATTATTTTTTCTCCTTCTTTTAATCAAACAATGCATAAAATTATCCTAGTTTTAATACATGAATAATTCCTCTCTAACCGGCTACCAAACGACCCCTTAGTTCATAAGTGCTACCAGATTTTAATTAAACTCAAACCAAGCCTTTTCATTTAATTCTTTCCATGTCCCTGCTATGGCAATGAAGCCAATAAAATTAAGAACATGAGATACAAATGATTTGAGGTTGTACACATACTCTTTCATGTTTCTCAAATAATTTTTTACGTAAAGGAGAAATTCTAGCTCCAACGTCGGACTGCATGTAAAAGTTCAAATTTGAAAAAAATGCTTAGTTAGATTAGAAGATGGAAGAATGCGTGTTAAAGCATAATGCAAATACAATTAAGACTTAGCATTATAATGGTGACATTGGGATCCTTTGGCACGAACATCTCTTTCCCAGTAGATATGACTATCTTATCCTCAGCTGCAGCTTGAAGTCACCTGAAAATATTGAACATTTGAAGTTAAACAAATGTACAGGTCCAAGCACATTTCATAGATTAGGAACAGCCCCTTTAATTCAATCTACGCTGGAAAACTCAGATAAATTAGATAAATAATAACATTGTCTAAAGAACTAGAAACATAACGGTCAGTGAAAAATGGTAGATAGTTTGTAAACACGGAGTTCATGTAATCACGGTGTGTACACACTCACACACAAGGCACATATATAAGGAAAAAACAAATAATAAACTTGATAGTCTAACCTGTTTTTGAAGTAGAACAAGAGTCTCCAGTAATAACATTACACTGAGTTACAGATGTTGACTCGACAGGATTGACCCAATTTGTATTTGCAATAAGACTGATTAGTGGTTGCCTCTCTTTTTTGACGCGGCGTTGCAACAAAAGTGCGTTTTTTCAGCTATAGCGCGTTTGGTATTGTTATCATGAGCTTCTGTAGTTAAGCAACGATGTTTTCTTTTTTCCTTAGGATCCATTGATGAAGAAATTTAACTTTCAAAAGTGTCAGCACTCCAAATAGCTTGCCAACCTACATTAAAATGATCACTCTTTTTTATCAGATGGAAACAAATACAAAAGACAGAATACAGTAATACTAAATACCTGCCAAACGTTTTTAGCAGGTGCTATCATTGGTCATATATTATTTTCTACAAATATTTTGAAGCAAGCAAAATATAAAACTTATATGATAGATACGTGACAGCAAAATATAAAGAGCTACGACATGGAATTTCAATTTTTCACCAATAAGAACTAAGGAAATACTTAAAAGGTAAATACTGATCAAAGTAAAAAAATCCATAAGCTTTTTTATTAGAAGCAAAAAACCCATAAGCTTTTGACAGTAAGAAATTTGCAGAGATGATATAGCAAGGCGAATGGAGATCAAGTTATATATAATTTCACATGGAGATTAATTACTTCGACACAAAAGACCCACAAGGCGAAGCGAAAAAGGAAGAAACTAACTGAAATTATACTGTCTTCTGTTGGCTAGCCCAGCTTTGGGAACATCATATTTAAAATGAGTTTTGATAAGGCTAGTTAACTGGGTATAAGAGCTCCGTAAACTTAAGCTAATAAGCTATTACCCGTTTTTCATTTTATAAGACCAGATTTCCTTCAACCAAAAAAGCTTTTAAGCTGCCTAAAAAGAAATGCACACAGGTAGGTTTTCACAAATCATTTGGGAGGATCAGACATTTTAACTCAATATTCTAACAACTAAATTTCAGTAAATTAAAGAAGTTCAAAAACAAAAATATTCAAACACGTCTAAAATCAGACACTAATTGTCTGGGGTGGGAGAACGAAAGGAAAAGAGAAAACCTCTGCTGACCAAGTTGTAACCTATAGGTGTGCTCCGTTTTCCCAGTAAACCCGTTCTCCTTTGTGTCCTCGGGTCTATTTATACAAAAAAGAGTGCGTTTCGAAATCACGAAACACAGGTGGACTTGGAAAGATACTACCAGCAAAGGCAGTGGCAGAGCTATTTATTGGGAAGGGAATCAACTAAATCCGCTTTGTTGAAAAATTATGGTATGTGAACAAGAGTAAAATAACTTTTTGTCTATTTAAATATTGTTGATTCCCCTTGGCAAGTGGTAATTGTTTGCATTCTACCATTTTCCGAATCTCATGATAGCATTTTTGGCTCTGCCACTGAGTTAAGTAACAACAATATGGACTAAACTACAGAAGATTTTCAAGCACTGATTTCACATCTTTTTAGTCCAGGCAGTGAGAGATTCTCACATCATGAGGAAACAATATCTAAATATATGTAATTAATTCAAAATTGGCTACTGTTCACAGCTTTAGTATGATAATCTTCTGTTAACAGCTGTCATAATTAATTCACAAGTTCATTTTCATACCTTGACTTCATGAAAATAAGTTTTTCGTCACGCATGCTAGTAAAAGAAACCCTTAAAATTTCAAACTATAAGGCCCAATGTAAACGTTGCACCGTCTTTAGTTTTAAATGTCATAAAAGTACACACCTGAGCTCCTGAATTTGAGCTTGAGCAAGCCACCATCTTCTTCTGTTCCTGACTTTGTCATTGGCTGAATAATTCAACTTTAATGCTTTGCTACAGTTCATGTTGTATTGCAACTTTAGGTTCTGAAAACACCGATTGATACAATGAGTTATTCGCCATTGTATTGTAATACTCATCCTGAACTCAATTTAGTATCGATACACAGAACCATAACTATCAAACGTTCAGAAGAATCTCATCATTTAATCAACTACATCGATATTAACCTTCTTTTCTGTCATGTGAAGTGTAGCCATCTAACTATACAACAACTTAATAGAATTTAAAATAGAGACATATTGTTGGATGAAAGAGCAACCTTTTTCTTCAACTATATATGTGCGTGTGTATGTGTATGTTTATCATGTACAGCTCTTTGTATCAAATCAAATTTTACATTTGTTTTAGTAGCTATCCAACTGTTTTAACATCATTTTAAATTATATATGGACACAGAACATTAATGGATACCAGTAACTAAACCAAATACAATATAATTTCCTGCAACCATGAGATTAAAGGTATCAGTGTTGAAGCCTTCTAAATTCTTGATTCAGAATGATATTTGAGCAACATCGTATCTTCATGGACTCTCCTGTCTAACAAGGATTACTTCACAGGTTAATAAAGGATGCGAGAAACTATACCAAATGAAAAGTAATTTTCATTCCATCGCGAAAGCAACACATAATCATGAGCAAAGAAACCTAACAGAAAATTAAAGTCCAGATTCACCTCTTGCAAACATATCATCAAGCATCTTGGGTGCAAAGGCGGATCCAGAAACTCTATGTATTCAACCTTTAAGGTTCTTGCTACTTAACTCATTATATTCTTAAAGTTATGAGTTCATATACATAATTTATTACAATTTTAGTGATTTTTTGCGTATACATTTGTATTCCGTATCGAAAATTATGAGTTCAATTGAACCCTTGTTACATACACCCCTGCTTGGGTGCATAGTCCGCTCCAAATTAGTAATTGATAATAACGAAAAAAATCTTCAAATTGACACAAGTAATGTATAAATCAGGAACAATTACTTACATGCATGTAAAAAATCTAGCAAGATATTATTAAAAAAGAATAGGGAACCAACATGCATATACATACGATTACAAATATAGAAATTGCAATAACAAAAAAAAAGATTACACAAAACAACTCTGAAAACAGAGAACTCACACCACACAAAATGGACAAACTCTAAAAAAGTGAGGAATAAAAATATACATGCACTACACAACACTCATACGGCCAAGCACAAATACAGTCAAAACCAAAAAAAGGGCAAAAAGAAAAGAGGAAGAAGAGCTACTACAATGGTGAAACAGGGAGGAACATAAAATAAAAAGAAATCAAAAGATTAAAATTAATAAAAGTAAAGAAAAAGGAAATAGAGAAGAAGAAGAACCCACCGTAGAAAGAGAAAACAGAGAATAGCTAATTTAAGACTGACGTGGGTCTGTCCACATAACAGTGAAACTGTCAAATGGCACGACTTGCAAGTTAGGCTTTTTACCTACGCTGCAATGACGAAAATGCCCTTCTCTGATTAATTTACTGTAGTATAAAGTTCACATGCAACTGAAGTTCAATCCGAAGCACCAGAAAATGTTAATGATAATTCCAAAAGTGACCATCTTGTTTTGATGTTCCTGAAAGATTTGGGAATTGAAGATCATTGGTATTTTTTTTCCTAGTAAAAAAAAATAAGTCTTTGCTAGTTTCAATAAAATATAACTCCCTCCGTTTCAATTAAGATGAAATAGTTTGACTAAGTGTAGAGTTTAAGAAAAAAAAAATACTTTTGAAACTTGCGATCTTAAAAGCTCAAGGGATAAAAGTTTTGTGGGGCCATGACATTTGTGTGGTTATAAAAACTTCTTATTAAGCGTAAAATGAGTAAAATGAAGAGTTTAAAGTTGAATTATTTCCAAATTTAAAAATGTGTAATTTATTTTGGAACAGACAAAAAAAAAATACCTTATCTAATTTTAAACGGAGCGAGTAAGATTTTCTGGTGCAAACTTTTTAAGAAAATTGTTGCTGTGCCCTCTCCCACTAATTAATTAAATAAAAACGTGCTCTGACAATATAATTCAACCTGATATAAGAGCAGGTAGATATCTTGAGTTTGAGTAACGAAAAGAACTTCCACTTGCTTGGCTTGGCCAGTAAAAAATGAGCCAACCAAAAGCAGTTGCCAACAGTACTATGATTTGGATTAGATTTACTTAGTGTAGCATTTGCCTACTCTCCAGGAGTTTCTAGTTTAGTGCGAGTCTTTTGCAACTAAGAGTGACATCAATAAAGTAGATGAAAGACTTAGAAAATCACATTTAAAATCTTATGATAGAGCCATGAATAAAGAAAGAAGTTTAGTGCCAACCTTTCATTTTTATGTAATACAAATATATAGGATACAGAAGATTAGCAGTGTCAAGAACCAAAAAAGGCTGTTGTCAAGCTTGAAATAGTAAATCTTAACATATTCAGAATTACACAAAAAAAAAAACGTTGATCCTTCTGTATACTAGTGAGTGTTAGTTTTAGTGTACGTATGAATTACTAAAGAACTTGGTTCTTTATCGTGTTGCTTAAACATGAAGTAAAATAAACAATAAAGTAAATACCGCGATTTTTACGTGAAAATTCTCCCGGCTCAAAAGGCGAAAAAATCACGACCTACTGTGCAGAATTTTCAGCTTCAACTCCACGAGTACAATGAGCCAAAATGTATCAATTACAAGACTGTAATTCAATACTCTCCAGTACTCCAACTACGACTATTTGATTTACAAGTTACTCTAACTTGTAAAGCTAACACTCATTCCAACTCACTAATTGTTTGTGACACTTTGATTACAATGTAATTTCCTAAAACACATTCACTAGACTAACTCAAGAAGAACAAAATACTGATATTCGACTAGAGTGAACAAAATGTAGTTCTTTAATTGATGTGTGAAAGGATAATCTCAGAAGTCCAAAATAGATAGTATATAAACGCCTGAACTTCAAGATCTTCTAGGAGTCCTATGCATAGTCAGCTTCTCGTTTGATAGGACTTCTACTTTTCCAAGGACTCCACAAGTTTTGGGACTCTTGTCTCTCACTGGTTTATTTGTATCTTCTTGGGCAACAACCCTTATCACATGTAGCAGCCTTCTTCCATCAAAATCAAACCTAGGTAACTTTGAAATAAAGATACTGTCTTGCACAGACGTACAATCATCAACCAGAGGAGCTGGTCCTTTACCCCGAGGAGTTGGTTCTTAGAACAGTTAAGCAGCTACGTTGGGGACTTGGTTCTTCGAACATTGCATCTAAACAAACTTTGTTAATCATCAAAATCTCAATACTCAACAAATTTTCCCTTTTGGATTATGACAAACTTTGTACACACTAGAACCAGGTAATCACAACAAGTACCATAGACAAACATATTCACAACACCCAATATCCCCAACCTTATCTTCCCCCTTTTGGCATCATCGAAAAAAAGAAGAAGATGTTAAAAATATTAAGCATAGTTAATGTAAGATTCAAGGCCATACAGGCTACAACACAAGATCAAGAATTATCAAGGCAAACAGACTAGGCTGATGATCCAATATAGTATGAATGATTAAAACAGTATAAGAGAAGTCATTTAGTAGTGCCAAAATAAGCCTAGGACCTTGTCTTAAACCATTAGAACAAAATAAACTAAACATACTGCAACATACTCAGACTAGAACAGAAAAATAAAAAAGATTAAAGCATCACTAGGATAGCAAAATAAACGAAGGACACTGGGAATGAACAGGTTCATGGGTGAGAGGTAGAGGGAGTCGATGCTTTCACAAGAGTGGCAATCTGTTGGGCATGAGCTTCCATATCTCTTCTAAGCTCTTCCCTAAGCTGCCTGGTTTACTTTCTCAGCTCATCATTGTCTTCACGAAGCTTGGCATTCTCTTTAATAACTACCTCCAACCTCTTACTAAGCTCTACTTCCCTGCTCCTTCCAGGTAGATAGTAGATCCTGTTGATCCCCTAGCCTTGATCTCCTCATAGCCACACTGCTTGAGGATAACAATATCCAAAATATCATTGTGATTTCCATACTTAATCTCAGGCAAGGCAATGTTGAGCTTGTCAAACAACTCAGTCAATATGAAGCCAAAAGGCATAGCATGCTTAGGCTTGGAAGTGTCTGCAGCTCTTGCCATATGCTGAATAATCAGACTAGGAAAATTGATAGGTTTACCAGTGTCAAGCAGTTCCATTACAGCCATATCCAACAGAGTAGCTTCATGCCTTCTCTCAGACCTCTGTAGAATGCAGGAACTTACAAAGTGAAACAACAGCTTGTGTAAGGGGGTCATATCAGTCTTGTATACCTTCTAGGAGCATCCAGTTCAAACTTTTGGGAGAATTTCCTTATGACCACAATTCCTGTGTCAACATCATTGTCTATGGCGTGTCACTTTTTCTTCAGGAAATTGTCAAATCTTAAAGAGGAAATATTCAGAAGCATCCCCAACTCCTCAGCATCAAACTCCCTTTTAAACCCCCTTACCTTACTTTTGACCACCTTTCCATCAAATTGGAAGTTTGCGTAGAACTCCACTACAACAGGAACACATACAGGAGGGAAGGCTTTGGCAAACATGTGTTTCCATCCCTATAGCTCAAGTTTTTCAACCAGTTGAGCCATCCTTTTTTCATCAGTTATTGCAAGAATCTTTCCATTAAGCATTTTTCTGTTCCTAAACTTTGTGAGTCTATCAACCACAGCTGGCACATTCTTTATATTTGTTCCTCTACTGGCCCTTGCAGATGGGGTAGCAATATTTGTAGCTTTGGCAACCTTTCTCTTTTGTGTAGCAAACTTTTCTAGCAAAGCAGACTCAGACTCATCTTCTCCATCCAACTCAACCACATGTTCCACAACTGAAACTTGCTTCCTTGGCTTCTTGGTACCTCTGTACTCCTTAATGATTTGTTCATCAATAACCTTTCTTTTACTCCTTGTAAGAGGAGTCCTGGCAGGAGGAGCCATTTCTTTTCTTGTTGGACTGCAGACTTTGTTGCTTTCACAGGAGTTTTCCTGGGTTTCTTCCCTACCTCAGTCAAGGGCAAGTCATCTTCATCACTACTGACTTCCTCATCTCCAGTGAAAGGAGTTAACAAGGCCCCAGGTTCTTCAGTCCTTTTCTCTCCACTTGCTTCTTCTAAAAGGACTATGACAGTGTTCCCATTGGTCATAGAGCCTTCAGATTCCTCACACATATTCTCATTCTCTTCCTCACATTCTTTATCATCTCCTTCACTCTCACTTGCCTTTTCTTGATCCTCGCATTCACTCTCAGAATTACCTTCTTCTTCACTATTCTTTTCTTCTCCTACAGAATCATCCACTTGTTCACCTATCCTATTTCTATCTCACTCTCATTCTCTTTACCAGAATCTCCCTCATTCTCACTCTTTTCCTATTTATTAGCTATTTTTTGAGTAGTATGTTCCTCAAGACTGCCCACAACTTCTACTTCTTTTTTACCCCCATTATCATCCTCATCCTCTGTCCAACTGAATGAAAGACCATCAGATGCCTCCTTTTGCACTGGTTCTTTACTCCCTTTCCATCAACCACATGCACCACAGTAGTGGTATGTAACTCTTTCTCCTAAGTTCATGCACTCTTTTCTATAGTGAGTTCCTCTACTTGTGGTTGGAAGAGTGTCTAAAGGTGCAGCATCTATAGCGGATACCAGAACATCTAATTTTGAAGGAGGGAGTTGTACCTAACTTGTAGTGACTGACACTAATTCCCCCTAAACCATAGCTTCCTTGACCACCCTGTCTACTTGAGCAGTAGCATCAGACACTACCTTGACACTCTTAATAGGTTTTCTTGGAGTAGCCTTGATCTTGGTTGACTTAGAGGTATTTTTCGAAGTAGGCATGGATGCGTGGGTGGTTGGTTTTGGAAGTGAAGTTTCAATGGAGGTGGGGATGGTGAGCTGTAATGACCCAACTGGTCGTTTCGAGCATTTGCACTTCGCTCAGTAGTTTGAGGGCATAAGTAGCTCAGTATGATGTATTATGACTTGTATGAATTGTCAATTTTGGTTTTCAGGTTATTCGGAATCGATTTGAAAGAATGAGTTTCATGATTGAAGCTTTAAGTTGGAAGAGGTGATTAAGTTTGACTTTTGTGAATTTGACCCTGGAACGGAGTTTTGATAGTTCCGTTAGGTCTGGATGGTGATTTTGGACTCGGGCATCTGCTCGAATTTTCATTTGGATATTTCTAGAAGCATTCGGCACTAATTGGCGAAAGTTGGAAATTTGAAGGCTTGGAAAGTTCATAAGTTTGACTGGGAGTTGACTTGATGATATCGTGTTCGGATTGTGGTTCCG